CACGGATGACGGATGGTATGGAGCTGTCCTTATGTGTCAAATACCATTCAACGTTAGGAAACATATAAATGCTGCTAAATGATGGCCCGTTATCTGTGAACAACACTTTCAGAAGTCTGTGTATTGCATTTTTTTCTATTGTCGTCCCCATGTTTGACGAATGAACTGTATGCATGCCTAGCCACTTTAAGTGGGTGTTCACAATAACTAAGAATATTGAGCTCATGAAAAGACCTGAATAGTCAGCACATAACCAAGTCCAGGGTTTATCCTACTATTCCCATGGAAGTGCGGGAGCTGCTGACGGCAATTTTTGATCTTTTTAGCATTCTGGGCACTGTCCCACCAATGCGGCTATTCAATGCTGGTTACCAGATATAACTTTTTGCTGAATCAGAGTCATAGCGTCGTACAGCATGGAAATAGAACATTTGGTCCAACTAGTCCATGCCAAACATATTCCCAAACTAAATTAGTCTCACCTGCGTGCTCCTCGCCCAAATCGCTCCAAACCTTTCCTATTCATGTACTTATCCAAATGTATTTTAAACATTGTAATTGTACCCACATCCATCACTTGCCCAGGATCTTCATTTTGGAAACCCCTGGATGACCCTGATGGAGTTCAGTCTGTATCTGTTGGTGACCTGTGCTTGGGACATTCCCTCTTGCTCCCCATAATAATATGCCATCATCGACTCTGATCTGGTCTCTCCGGATCCAGAAAGGTTTCAGTTCTGGCTGTGATGGTCCTTTGATTTCCCCCATCACCACCAGCTGTTTCAGTTTTGCCAGGACTGGATCTTTGTGTGTCCAAAATTTGATATTGTCAGCTGTGACTCGAAGAGTGTCCAGAAAATTTAAAAGCAGAAAATAAAAACTCTTCCAGTGGTGATACTATCAGTGGCGTACCTGCCAGTGGGAGGCAGCTCATTGCATCCACACTTGTTACTTGCTCTCCCACACGGTGTTCTACCTTGTAATTATACATACTTAGTAATAGATCCAAATGCTAAATTCGGCCTGAAGCTATGGGCAGCACTGCCTTGTCCTCTTTAATTAGACCTAGCAGGGGTTTATGGTCCATTATGATTATAAATTTATGCCCGTAAGATATGGGTGGAACTTCGTGACTCCATGTCCGCCAAACCTTCCTTCTCTATTGGGCATATTTAGGCTCTGCATTAGCCAAACTTCTGGATGCACACACTATTGGCCACGTCTTCCTCTTCACTGGCCACCAAAAGATAATATTACCCAATGCCAAACAGGGAGGCATCACATGTCAATACCAGATCTTGCTCGAGATCATAGTGTACCAGCACCTTAGAGGATGATAGCTGTTTTTTCAGTTCCCTGAGAGTTATGGCTCGACTACGTGACCATTTCCAAGGTTAATTTTTCTTTGAGAGTTGATGCAAAGGTGCCAGGATGGAGACCCTGTTATAATTCAGCAGCCCAAGGAAAGACCTAAGTTCCAGTACAGACTTGGGAGCTGGGGCACCTTTGATCACACTCACTTTATCTTCCAACGGGTATAATTCAGTCTTGTTGCCTCTGTAGCCCAAGTAGGTCACTTGGGGTGCCTGGAACATACATTTTTCCTTTCTAAGGTATATGTCTGACTGGAAGAAATGTCCAAATTCTCCTTATTGGTTTTCTCTGTTATTAGCACATCATCTAAATAAATAGCAACCTGGGGTAGATCTTGTAAAATGTTCTCCATCGTCCACTGAAAAATTGCACTGGCTGATAATAACCCAAATGGCAGTCTTGAATATAGACACAAGCCCTTATGGGTATTAATTGTAGCATACTTCTGATGATTCTCATCTAACCACAATTGCAAGTACGCATTGCTTATGTCCAGCTTCGTGAAGGACAGCACCCCCTGTCAACTTTGTGTGTAAATCCTCTATACAAGAGACTGGGTATTTATCTAGCTATGAAAAGCGATTTACATAAAGGTGAGCCAATCCATCCAGCTTCACAATTTCTGCCTCTACTTTTGCCCGTAAGGCAAATGGCACTGGGCAGGCCTTGCAGAATCATGTAATTGCTTCCTGGTTAACATGCAAGGTGGCTTTGGTTCCTTTGATAGTCCCTAGACATTCCTGAAAAATATTCAGGTATTTAATTAGCACTTTACTCAGGCAGCCATTTTCTAATCGAAAAAGGTTGACCCAATCTAGGTGAATCTTTCTTAACTAATTCACCCTATCAAGTTTGGGCCCGAACCTTTTCCTACAATCAGTTGTAACTGAACCAGATGCTTCTCATACATGACAGGACCGAAGTTGTACCCTTAATCTGTAAAGGTTTCCTGGCATAGATTCTCAGTCTAGCTGAGGTTTTACACAAACTTAAGGGTTGGAGTACAGAGCGAATTTTGGTAAAGACTGGTTCTGCGACCACTGAAATGGCCATGCCGGTATCAACCTCCATTAGAACTGGGTGACCATTTAACCAGGCGTTTATTTTGAATGGCTCTGATTTAGATATTGCTAAGCAATTTAACTGTTCCAAACCAGATATAAGTGGACTTTCCAGAGTAAGAGAACTCATTACTCAATTTAGGTTGGGACTTTTTTGCTGTTGCGAGTCTGCATACCAGCAGCAACTACAATGACTTGCTGGCTCGGATCCTGAAGAAAATGTTAACCGTTTGGCCAAGGCTTGGCTTTGTTTTGATGTTTTACTGTGGGCTGACTTAGAGTCCCTCTGTTCAGGATATGTCTTGAGTGAGGCTATGCAATTGTCTTCATTCAAATGGTGTTCCTCAAGCTCAGTCAGACTGGTGAGGGTATCCACTTCCATCAGAATTCCCTGCAACTCATATGCTCCACTTGCCATATTTTCCAGCGATAAAGCCGGTTGTAGTGCCTGTTTGAAAACCAGTTGGACTTCAGCGAGTAGGTGCTTTTGCATGGTTACATCAATAATTCCATATACCAAATGGTCTCTCAGCATCTCATTAAGAGTTAAGTCAAAGTTACATACCTCTGCCAGTCATTTTAACCTAGTCAAAAATCCCTATACGGATTCCCCTGGTTCTTGAATTGTCAAGTAAAACCAAAATCATCTCAGAAATAGAGGAGGATTGGGGTCACAATATTCCTTAACTAAATCCAACAACTCTTGAAAGGTTTTAATATCTGATGCTTCAGGCAATGTTAGATTCCGAATAACCGGAAAAGCTGCGGGCTCACAAGCTGTCAGGAGAATTATTCATTGCTTTTCCTCCGCCCCAATGTCACTTGCCCAGAAAAAAAAACGCACTTTTTCTACATAATAGGCCCAGTCTTTGAAGGCAGGATCAATTAGTCAAGTTTCCCAAATAACAGCATGATGCCAGAAATGCTCACTTCAACTTTAAGGCAACTGTTGAGGGTGAATTTTCTTAGCAGCATGCTTTTCTATTGTTGCCACTGAAATAACTCCACACAGGCCGATATCCCGTCACCAAGTCACACTTCATTTACACATGGAGAGTCCTTGACTCTGATCTAGCTCCCCCAGAGCCAGCTGTCAGAGTGAACTGGATGCCTGACACTCCTGTTCTTATCTGTCAGCCAGGGCCCCCTGCTTTGTCTAGATTAACAGCCCCAGTCAGAGAACTCATATTCTATGATGGTAACCAGGCTGACCTTGTCACAATCACTACTAGAGTAATCTGCTGAAACAATACCTTCCAAACAGTGTAATAGAGTTCTGAGCAATTCACACATTTCATCAATGCTCAAAAAGAATATTTGCATCTAATTTTGAGAAGATTAAGCTCTTTTGTAATTTTGCTGAGCTACTGCATTCGGATGGCATAAGGTGAACTTCACATTCAACTGTTTTATTCAACTACACTAATCTATGCAGATTCTGATAGATCTATTTGGTTATACGGTACTAGGGCCATCTCCAAGCACCAGCTTTTGGGTTCTCCCACAGGTGAAATAATCCCATGCTTCAACATAGTTAATTTCTTGCTTTACTTTTGGCAAGAATCAGAGTAATTTTTATTGGTGTAAACAGATGACTTATTTTGTTTTAGGATACAGAATGAAGCAGTATGCTGTCTTCTGCTTTCCTAATCCTGTCAAAAGCAGTGGGAATTCAGCTGTGAAGTTCTTAGGCTGAATTTGTTGGCTTTCCAGTTCCTCAACAATTCAGTATTAGAGACAAACAAAATTGCCACTTCTGTTCCCAACTTAAAGTACATCTCATTTCGTCTACAAGGACATCAGCATTCTAACTGTTTCCACTTGGTTCCTTGATTTTGTCAAGGAAGCTCCATATCATTAATGTCTATTCTCATTCATCTTGCCAATTGAGAGCTCCAGTTTCTTTCCACAGTTCAAAGATGTGCAGATTAGGTGGATTGGCCATACTCACTTACCCCGTAATGTCCAGGGATGTGCAGGCTAGGTGGATTAGCTATGGTAAATGCAAGGTTATATAGGGATGAGTTCGGGGAGGGGTGTGTGTGTGCTTGAGAGGGTCAGTACAGACTCAATGGGCCAAATAGCTTCTTTCTGCACCGTAGGGATTCTATGATTCTATTCCATACAACCTTCTGGCTGCAATGGACAGTTTGGAACTGATCCTTCTTACAAAACTGGTATTTGGGCTTTTAGGCAAGTCAAGTTTTGCTTGGTTACCACTATTATCCCAAATCACCAATCAGTTTTCCTCCTCAACTTCAGCTCACCAACTCGGTTGAATTGTCTTTGTTAGTGTTAAGTCACTTCTTAACTCCAAGAGGTCAGACAACACTGAATCAAAGCCTTTTTTTTAACCTGGCTTATTCATACCTCGCTGCATGTTTGTACAGATCATTGATAAAAGTTTTAACACTTTCACCTTGTCGCTGGGTATGCTTATTAAATTTAACCTGTTAAACATGGGTACTTATATCTTAGATTGTAGTAGGCATCCATTAATTTCTTGGATGTAATATTTTTTGTTGATCCCTGTCTGACTAGGATTGCATATAATAGTGTACTGACCTGCTCACTGCTCAGGTTCACTAGATGCAGTGTGATACCTTTAAAATCTCAGATGGCAATTTAGCCATGCATCTGCTTCAGTGGGACCTGTGATCTGTTTTCCAGTAATGGCTGAGACTTCTTCATGCTGGTTCTTTCATTGTTGCTACCATATAGTATTCCTCGCCTTGTTGCGCTGTTAAAAAATATCAACTTTATTCAAGGAGCGTTTTACTGAGGCTTCAGCTTACCACGGAATTGCAAAACCACTGGCATTGTATAATTTCCAATGATGACGTACGCTCCTTATTAGCATATCACAGTGAAACTTAACCTTATATGATAGTATTCTGTCAACATAGCCCTCCTCACAAATTGTGAACTCTTACAGCACGGTGACCATAGGAGAAAAATGCACGTGGGAACGATCAATGTAAATAGTCATGCTCCCTATGTTTACCACAAGATACAGTCACTAAAATCTTTCTGTTGCAAAAAATGTTGCAGTAAGCTTTAAACCCAGGAGTAACATGCATATTATCAATGAACTGCGACTAAACCTTTCCTTATCCTCCTGAATTAGCAGAGCCAACTTTTATTCAAGCCATTATGTGCGCCTATTAAATAAAGATCTTAGTAAACGAGTTTTGCTAAGAAGTTACATACAATTGCCAAATAAATTTGAAGAATTAAACTGACGGAATTTGATAAAACTCTACATGTTTGACAGCTGTTCTGAAAGTTCACTTCCACTGCCATTGTCATTGACTTAATAACGGAACATATCAGCCCTAGATATTATTGGTGGAAATATTGTTGTTTGTGGATAATCAACCCAAATTCTCAATTTCTCTATCTATCTCTACCATTCTCAAAGGCCGAGTTATGAATGTTAATTCAAAAGCTCTTGGGGACCATACCGTACATATATGCAGCTGGATCAATACAGCCAATTATAATGGTGGCATCCTATTGTCAGTGTTGGGAATATATAGTCCACTTAAAAAAAGGAAAAAAAAAATTCTAAAATTTTTCTGAGCTTTTAATCTTTTTCTTTTGTCCTGGTGCTCTTGTCCTCTCTATTTTTCTTTCTTGAGATTGTTTTACTTCAAATTAAACATTTCATCTGACACTCCATCATTTAGACTGTACATGTAATGATTCACAGGTAGGTAGGGTGGTTAAAAAAGCATTTAGCACACTTGCCTTCGTTGCTCAGACCACTGAATATAGGAGTTGGGACATCACATTGAGATTGTATAGGATGTTGGTGAGGCCACTTTTGGAGTACTGTATACAGTTCAGGTTGCCCTGCTATGGGAAGGATATTATTAAATTGGAGTGGGTTCAGAATGTTGCCAGGACTAGAGAATTTGAATTATAAAGGAGAGACTGGGTCTTTTCTTTACTGGAGGTTAGGACGTTGAGGGGTGACCTTATAGAGGTTTATAAAATCATGAGTGGATAGATAAGGTGAATAAAAAAGTTCTTTTCCCTGGGGTGGGGGAGTTCAAAACTAGGGGACATATTTTGAAGGTCAGAGGAGAAGGATTTAAAAGGAACCTGAGGGGCAACTTTTTTCACACAGAGAGTAGTTCATATGTGGAATGAACTGTCAGAGGATTTGGTAGATGCAGGTATGGTTATAACATTTAAAAGACATTTGGATAGATACCCGAATGAAAAAGGTTTAAAGGGATATGGTCCAAACTAAGGCAACTGGGATTAGTTTAGTTTGGGAAACTTATTCAGCAAGTTGCTTCATTGCTTGTGAAGCTTTTTGAGACTTGCCGTCTCCATACTGCTTCCATCTCCTACGGGATATGAAACAAGTTTGGACCAGCTCAATCATTTCCAAACTTTTTTGGTCTTTCCATCTGACCCCTTCCTTTTCTCTCCCTGTCCTCTTCACTACTTCACTTTTCTCATTTCTTTCATCCCTCACCTTCTACCACATCCTCCTTTCATCATCTCTCCCTTCCCTACCTCTCCCCATTGCCTCCATTACATTCTTTTGCCACCCTTCACCTCCCTTTCATCTCTTCCCTCCCGCTTGCCCTCAGTCCCCTCACTCCACCCCTCTCTTCCCCCTCCCCATTACCCAAATCCAGATCTTTCCACTTGCCCCTTCTTCCTTTCTCCCCCTCCTTCCCGTCTTCCATCACCCCCTTTCCTTTCCCTCACCCTCTGTCCCCCCCCTTTCCCTGTTTCTTCCTCTTCTCCCTCTCCTCTCTCCCACTCTCACCCCTTCTGCTCACCTCCTACCCCCTTCCCATCTGCATCCCCTCTGACCCACCTCCCTTCCACAATTCTCATCCCCCACCCTCCCTCTGCTCTTGGTCTACCCCTCTTCCTCCTCCCCTCATCCAGTACTCCTCCTCTCCCCTTTCCTTTCGCTCTCACCCTCCCTCTCAAACGTTCCCCCCTTCCAACACCTTCCAACACCCTCCCCACCCTCCGCTTGCCTCGCTCCCTCCATTCCCCAATTCCTGCTTGATCCTCTCCCCTTGTTCTCGCTCACCTCTTTCTCCCCCCGCTACACACTCTCACCTCCGCGGTGTTGTTGCTGTTCCTGGCCCCCCAGGCTCTGGGACACTGACCTGGGAGAGTACAGGCGGCGGCTGCGGGCGGCGGTGTGTGCTCGAGCCGCGTCACCATGGAGACAGGACGCCGCGGGGCTTCCCGTCACGCCCTGCTGCCGGGTGAAAGGTCAAGGGGGTGGGGTCTCCCGCTCAGCGG